GATTAAATGCCATGTTGAGGCTGTCATTTTTAGCATCTACATGGATGTTAAAATCACCCACAATAATTATTTTATCTGAGCTGAGCACTGAGATTCAAGTGAAGTGAATGGCTACTTTGACAGGGTTTCCACACCCCAGTCGCCCAATAGCCAATCTAAGAGTGAGGTTTATTGCTACCAATAACAACAAAACTGAAAGGTCTGTGAAGATTCTTTAAGTTGCTCGAAGACGTCTTCAAGCAACTTAAAGAAGTCCAGATGCTTTTCTTTCCAAGCTCCTTAGACCATAAACTCCAGGGTGAAAAAGGCCAAAATAATAAACAAAACAAGCTATTCCAAAGAAGTGCTACCTAAACCCTACTCGAAACCAAACTAAACAAAACACAAGCACTACCTTTAATTCCCTAATTTAACAAACAAGAGAAAAAGTGCAAAAAAAAAAATAGGGTGTTCACCCCTTCTGCTTCAGTGCTATTTACAAGATCAAGCACTGCGAGTTTGGAGGCCGAGGACAGCTGTTGTTGCTGCCAGGGGAACATCTGCAGGAGACGGGTTTTTGAAATGGCCAGTTCATAGTGCGTGTCAGTCAGCAGGTGGCAGGTCAAAGCCGGCCCAAAACGGCTCCTCCAATCACGTGGAGGACCTGCAGAGACTCTTAAAGGCACAGACTGATTTGGAATATGGCCAGGGCCTTAACACACGTTGAACTGCAGTGGAAGGAAAATGCCCTAAATCAACAACAGTACCAGCATGATTAGAAAGGAAAACTATTTGTTTGATTATTGATGTTGAAACCGTCTTTAATCAGGTTGTTGCCGGTTTAGGACGTCTTAGCTGCACCACAGTTCAACATGTGACCATTTAAAACGATGCTTTAACTGTTAGTAGTGGCTCATACCAGAGCCTCTTTTAATTTGTTTCTTCCGACCAGGTCAGCTCCCCACACCTGTATGCCGCATCGAGCTTTTAAAAACCTGTTTCACGTGCTGTTGTGTGTCATCAGGTTATAGATGAGATTTACCGCGTGTTGCGCTACGTGAACTCTACCCGAGCACCTCAGCGAGCTCACGAGGTTCTGCAGGAGTTGAGGGACATCTCCTCCATGGCCATGGAGTACTTCGATGAGAAGATCGTCCCCATTCTGAAGAAGAAACTGCCGGGAGCCGATCTGTCTGGTCGCCTCATTGGCTCTGCACCAGGTAATTGAAATGTGACAAAAACAATAATAGTTG